CTCACTATGTAGACCAGGCTGGCCTTGCACTCACAGAGATCCACCTGCCTCAGTCTCCCAAGTGCTGAGTGATTTATGCATATTTTCTAAGCAGAGAAAACAGCTCTTTTTAATTTTTCAAAAAAAAATGGTTTTTTTTTTTTTGGTTTTTTGTCTTTTTGAGACAGGGTCTCCCTGTAGCCCCAGCTGTCCTGGAACTCACTATGTAGACCTGGCTAGCCTTGAACTCACAAAGATCCACCTGCCTCTGCCTCCCAAGTGCTGGGATTAAAAGTGTGCGCCACCACGCCCAGCTCAAAGAAAGTTTTTAAGCCAGGTATGGTGGCACATACCTGTAGTCCCAGTACTTGAGAAAAATAATTTTTAAGTGAAATCCATTGCTTTAAAGAGGGATTCACTGGAGTTTTTAAGCCAGGTATGGTGGCACATACCTGTAGTCCCAGTACTTGAGAACCGGAGACAAGAAGATTGGGAGTTCCAGTCCAACCTGGGCTACAATGTGAGACTCGGTCTCTAAAATTTAAGAAAAATAATTTTTAAGTGAAATCCATTGCTTTAAAGAGGGATTCACTGTAATAGTTGTTACCTAAGAGTTCATAATGTTGACACAGCACTAATGTAGGCATAAGTAGAGCAAAAAAGAGCAGGATAAAACAGCCGAAGTTTTGGCTCAGTGGTAGAGTATTTACCTACCACGCTTGAGGTCCTGTGTTCAATCCCCAGTATACCAGGGCAGGATAAAAGTAATAGCATTTCTCAGCAGGTTGAGGTCAAGGCTTCCAGACAGTGCCGGGATTAGGCAAGGAAAAGATGGAAGACACTTCTGTCTTGAGAGTCCAAGGAAATTCCAATGTTGTGTAGGAAGGTCTCGTGGAGAAGGAAAATAACAGCCTTCTTCATTCTAGGCATATGGTAAGAGACTGTTCTGAGAAAGTCTTGGGATAAAAGTCTAAAAGCCCCAGCTGGGCATGGTAGCTCATATCTGTAACCCTAGCCCTCCAGAATGCTGAGACAGAATTGCTGTGAGTTTGAGGCTGTTCGGAATGCAGACTGAGTTTCTTTTTTTTTTTTAAAAAAAAAAAAAAAAAAAAAAAAAAAAAAGCAAAACTAAACAAACAGAAATAGAAAACAAATACTCTGTGTGGAGATCTACCCAAGGCTTTGGAAGTTACTGGCCACAAGCAGTGGTTAAGAGCTCTGCTCTCTCATGTAACTTCAAATATTTTTTTCTTGCTTTGGCTGTTTAGAAAAAGGATCTTCCACCTGCAAAGTGCGCCCTGCCTGCACGGACAAGGATTATTTCTACACACACACAGCCTGTGATGCCAATGGAGAGGTGGGTAGCACTCTTTGAGCCCCTGCTCCCTGCTCCCTGGGCTTTACCGATGTTCAGGTTCCAACGGTCAGTAAAAGTGGGACGGGATCAAACCCCACAGACCTGTACGCTTGAGCCCAGGCTAGTCAGGGAACCAAAGAAATGGATTCATTCATGGTCAGGTCAGACACTCCTCTTGCCTTTTTGTTTTGCTCAGCTCTCAAAAATGCTGTTTCAGCCACTTAATTTTCTTTTGCTTGGGTTCTTCCACTTGCTTGGCCCCTGAGCACTGTCTGCCTGTCCACACACGGTCCTGTCCACAGATCTACTCCGTCCTCAGCTGCTTCCGCAGGTGGTCAAGGGAATCGGGTCCCACTTCCAGCTCCCTGGGGGATGGCCTCACTGGCTCAGCCCCTGTTGTTTCTCTCCCACCCCGACCCCAACCAGGCCTTCTGCCTCAGAAAAGGCCTTTCCTCTGTGGTTTGGTTGTCATGGAGCTGACAAGCAATTGTGCAGAACTGTACATCGGCCTGGGGAGTCAGAGATAACAGTGACCTGGGATGGACCTCTGCTCTCATGGGACTCACAGGGTTATAGGGGAGGCTGCAGAGGAGAAGGTGGGACCTGATGAGGCAGCTAGGGTTATATGTAGAGCCCTAGGGAACCCCCACCCCAAACAGAAAAAGACCTGAGGGGCTAGAGAAGGCCTCTCAGAAGAGACTGTTGAACTAAAATTAGCAAATACTTTTTTGTTTTGTTTTGTTTGTTTGTTGGTTGGTCTTTTTGAGACAGGGTCCCCCTGCAGCCCCAGCTGGCCTGGAACTCACTATGTAGACCAGGCAGGCCTTGAACTCACAGAGCTCCGCCTGCCTCTGCCTCCCAAGTGCTGGGACTATAGGTGTGCGCCACCACACCCAGCACTTTTTTGTTTTTTATTGTGACTCATTGTAGCCCAGATTGTCCTTGAATTTACTATATAATCGAAGCTGACCTCAAACTCCTGATCCTCCTGCCCTGCTCCCCAGTTTTTGGGATTACAAATATAGACCACCACACCCAGCTAGTATGGTTTTGTTTTGAGGTTTTTTTCCTAGCAAATACTTCTTGTGCAGCCATTGTGTGCTAGGACAGTGCAGGCACTAGCCTCACTCAGTTAACAGAGCCAGGGGAACATTCTAGCTCCTGTGGTTCTTAATTTATTTTCTCTTCTTTTCCTTTTTCTTTTTCATTTGTTCATTGTTTTTGTCATTGTTCCTGTTGAGCCTAGTCTCAGGTAGCCCAAGCTGGCCTTGAATTCCTGGTCTTCCTGACTTTCCTCTCAAGTGCTGAGATTAAGGCACGTATTCTGAACCTGGCTATGGAGCTTAATTCTTTTTTTTTTTTTAAGTATAAATTTTGGATTATGTGTATGAGTGTTTTGCCTGCAATTATGTAAGTGCATCCATGCATGCAATGTCATGGAGGCCAGGAGAGGACATAGGAACCCTTAGAACTTGTTATCTACCACATAGGTGCTGGGAACTGAGCCCAGGTCGTTTGCAGGAGCAGCTAGTAGTCTTAACCTCTGAGTCATCTTTCCAGCCCCCTGAAATGTAATTCTTGTTGGGGAAGGAGACAACAGATAAACCACAGATGAGTGTGTAAGATCTAGGATGGTAATACATGGTAAGAAGAAATGAACACACAGGATTGGGAGACAGAATGACAGAAGGTGGGGATACTATTCCAGAAAGGGTCAGGATGAGCTCTGAGGAGCTGACATAGGGCAGAGTTGAATGAGAAAGAGGAACCCTGGGTCCTTCCAGTGCAGGGAAGGCCGGTGTGTACCTGGTGCATATGAGAACCAGAGGTAAGCGAGGATTGATGGACTGGAGGGTCTAAGAGGCAGGATCTATCCTAGACTAGACATTCTACAAGCCTTGTTATCCCTACAAGCCTCTTGGGGAGATAGAATTATACCAAGAATGGTAGGTCGCTCACGTGTGTGCATGTAAAGGCCAGAGAAGGATGTTGAGTCTCTTCTTTATTGCTCTCTACCTCACCTTATTTTTTGTTTATTTATTTGTTTGACTGTTAGAGACAGGGTCTCTCCATAGCCCCAGCTGGCTTGGAACTTACTATGTAGACCAGACTGGCCTTGATCTCACAGGAATCTGCCTGTGTCTGCCTCCCAAGTGCTGGGGTTAAAGGCAGGCATGCACCACCATGCCTGGCCCTCTCCACCTTATCTTTACAGGCTCATTGAACCTGAAACTTGCCATTTCAATTAGACTGGCTAGCCACTGAGCTCCAGGCATGCTTGTCTCTGCCCCCCCCCCACCATGCTGAGGTTACAGATGCACACAGCCACTCCCAGGTTTTATATGGATGTTGGGGATTTGAACTCAGGTCCTCTTGCTTGCATAGCAATTCTCTTATACACTAAGCCATCCCTCAGCCCCTACTTTCATTTTCTTGATCTTAATTGACCCACTAATAAAATAGGGATAGTTAGCTAATTGTGAAGGCTACACTTCTAGCACTTGGGAGGAGGAGGCAGGAGGATCTGGAGTTCAAGGCCAGCCTTGAATGCATAGCAAATCCGAGATCAGCCTGGGCTGGATGAAACTCTGTCTAAATTAATAATAATAATAATATAATTAATAATGATAATAGAGACATTAATCCTGCTTCTCTTCTTTCCCTTGGACATAACATGTGACCAGATGTAGCTGTCTTTCCTTCCTTCTGCCCCACTCTCACCTGTCCTGGGCTCAGGCCAAGGCCTTCCACATCTACAGTGTGTTCTGTTGCCCAGAGCCTGGGTATGTTTGCTCACCTGACCACCTGGGGCCTCTAGATGCTGGGTCAGGTAAAAACTGGTATTCCTGTCATGTAGTGCAGCCCAAGCATGGCCCAGAGGGCTATGAGCACTCAGCAGAGCACCTGACAGACGACTCTACATGCCTCACACCAGCACAGTCAGCCAAGTCTGCTGACTTCAGTTTGTCCTCTACACTGTTTTCAAACTAAAGGGCTATACTTCAGGCTGGGTGCTGTGATTGTCCTTGTGACCTTTGCTGGCTTCAGTGGTTTCAAAGGGACCAGAATGGTAAATTCTTTGGGGCCATTAAATGAGCTGTTACAGGAGATAGCCCAAGTTAGTTTTCCTGACTAAAAATCCATAGGAGGTGCCTAAAGAGATAGCTCAGAAGTTAAGAGTTCTGGCTGCTCTTGCAAAGGCCCTGGATTCAGTTCCCAGCACCCGCATAGTGGCTAACAACCATCCATAATTCCAGTTCCAAGGGATTCAATGCCCTCTTCTGACCTCCATGAGCATTGCATGCACGGGTGCACTTAACGTAATTGCAGGCAATACACTCATACACATAAAATAAAAATAAATATTTTTTAAAATCTACAGGAGTCAGTCAAGGAAGATTAAGGTTAAGACAAGCTTGGGGCCAGGTGTGGTGGCATAAACCTGTAATCCAACATTCAGGAGTCTGAAGCAGGGGGCTCATAAGTTCAAGACCAGCGTGGGCTTTATGAGACTCTGTCAGCCACTGGCTGTTCACAGGGAAGAGGGCTGAGCTGAGCATGGGGAGGAAGAGCCTGATGCACGGACAGGCTTCTTCTTGTGTCCTTGTCACTTGCTATCCTGAATAGAGGAGGCTTGCTTACCTGTCTTTTCACTGGGATAGCATGGAGTACAGATCGTTCTTACTATCAACACTGTGCCATTCATCAGGGCTCCCTTTCAATTTTGATTAGCTCTGAGGGTCAGTTGGGAAGAATGTAGTACCACCTTCCCCCAACTCACCAGGGGTCTCCTGCAGGTCATCCCCTCCCATCTTAACCATTGCTTCAATCAAGGGACAAGGAATGGCCTCAGTAGGTGACAGAATATGGCTTCTTTGTCCACTGGCCTGAAGGCTGACTATTCATCTTGTTTTGACATTTCAATATCATGTGTATTCTCCCACCTGGACTATTACTCTGTAATTATTGTTCTTGCTAGATGGGAGCTTCTGGATGTCAAGAGCCATTTCTCATTCATCATGGAGACACTAGGTCTGGTACATATTTAATTTTTGTTTTTGATTTTTTTGAGATAGGCTCTTCCTGTAGCCCTGGATGGCCTGGAACTATGTAAATCAGGGTGGCCTCCATCTCACAGACAGCTGCTTGCCTCTGCCTCCCAAGTGCTGAGGTTAAACGTGTGTGTCATGGGGGGGCTCAATGAAATATAAAAAGAGGGGCGTGCCACCATGTCCAACCCATGTTTTCTTTTTTAAAAAGTTTTAAATCTTTTAGCCGGGCATGGTGACACACACCTTTAATCCCAGCACTTGGGAGGCAGAGGAAGGCAGATCTTTGTGAGTTCAAGCCCAGCCTGGTCTACATAGCAAGTTCCAGGATAGCTAGGGTTGCAAGGAGACCCTGTCTCAAAAAGACAAAAAAAAAAGTTTTAAATCTTTTATTATTTTTTAAAAATATTTTATTTTTATTTTATGTTTATGAGCATATTGCCTGCATGTGTGTAAGTTCACCCATGTTGTGCAATGTCCACGGAGGTCAGTAGAAGGCATTGGATCCCCTGGAACTGGAGTTACAGATGGTTGTTAGCTACCATGTAGGTGCTAGAAATTGAACCCAGCTGCTCTGCAAGAGCATCCAGTGCTCTTAACCACTGAGTCATCTCTCCAACTCTCGTGCTTTCTTTTAAAATTACACACTATTACACACTTAGTAGACTATAGTTTAACACAAACCTAATTTTTTTTGAAACAAGGTCTCACTATGTAGCCCTGGCTGGCCTAGAACTCACTATATAGTTCAGGCTGGTCTTGGACTTACAGCCTGTCTCTGCTTTTCAAATGCTAAGATTAAAGGCCACCACACACAGCATATAAATTTTTTAAAAAGAACTCCACAGTAGAAATGGAGTGTTTTCTGAAGACAACCTGTCCCACTCATTCCTTCTGTCACAGAATCCACATTAGATACCCCCTCCTCAGCTCATCATTATTTGGCAGACAGTTACTGTGTATAAACATATGACCAGAACAGACTCCTCTACCCTTTCTAGAGTTCTCATGCTGTCTTCAAGTCCCCATGTCCCCCCATCCATGTGTTAGAGTCTAAAACATGGGCTAAATCCCAAACATGCTGAATCTTGCTTGATCCATTTTTACAGACACAGCGCATGTACAAATGGGCCATGCCAAAAATCTGTGATGAGGACCTCGAAGGGGCAGTGAAGCTGCCTGCTTCTGGTGTGAAGACTTTCTGCCCACCCTGCAACCCCGGCTTCTTCAAAACCAACAATAGCACCTGCGAGCCCTGCCCCTACGGCTCATACTCCAATGGCTCTGGTAACAGCCCTGCTGCCCTGGTCCCTACATCCTATCCATCCTCATATCAGCTGTGTGGGTCGGCCACATGGATGTTTACAGTAGCCAGGTGAATGAATGCACTCTGCCCATCCAAAGGAGGCATTGAAGACCAGACCAGCCCTGAGGACCAGGTTCATGAGTCTGTAGGTCAGGATCAGATTTAACAACTGCCCTGCCTTCCTCACGGCATCTGCAAAATGACTCAGCTCTCAAGGATCCCGGTCTTCACAGCAGAGACTTCCAGTATCAGAGATGCTTACTAGAAGGTTTGGGGAGGGGGCAGGGCTGAGATGACCAGCTGGATACAATCAGAACCTATAAGTGATGCTTCATGAGAGGAGTTGGAAGATTTGTGCACCTGCTAATGCAAATGCATGTAATAATAATGATGTGACAATCATAAGAATATATGTGTATGATTAAAAGGTACATTGAAGTTTTGAAGTGAAAATTCTGATGGGTGAGGATAGTTAGAGTACTGGAATGAAGGGTCAGTGTTTCTACCTTGAAGGTGTTAAATACATTGTCGTAATGTTTTTAATTCCATTTGATTTGTGCAACAGCACTAAGCAATCTACTATTTGGCTGCCATTTTTCTGTGTGGCAGCAGGTCCAGCAGTGGCCATGGTGTTTCTCTTGAGTGATGGATCTTGTGGTTTCCCCAGATTGTACCTACTGCCCAGCGGGGACTGAGCCTGCTGTTGGATTTGAATACAAATGGTGGAACACACTGCCCACAAACATGGAAACTACTGTTCTCAGTGGGGTCAACTTTGAGTACAAAGGCCTGACAGGTGACTGCCTCTCCCCATTACCCTGAGCTGTCACTCCCCGTATGCCCACGGGGTTTCTTCCACATTCGCATTTCTTCATCTGTTCAAAGTTCCACTCCTGTGGGCAAGTGTACTGCCTAAGCTTAGTTTCAGAGACAGAAATGGGGCTAGGGAAAACATGCACAGCCAGGCATTGCTCATAATCCCAGCACTCAAAAGGCTGAGGCAGGAGAATTGCAGTAAATTTGAGGCCAGCCTGGGCCACATAGTAAGTTCCAGACTGACCTTGACTACAGTATGAAACTCAAAACAACAAAAATGTTAAAAATAAAACGAAAAAGACTGCATGTACCCCAAAGGTCTCACTCTTAAAGCTTTGGCGTCTTCCAAAGTAGAAGGGTAAGCTGGGTGTGGTGATGTACACTTGTAATCCCAGCACTCTGGAGGTTAAAACAAGGATTGCCACAAGTCCTGGCCAGCCTGTGCTACAGTGTAAGACCTTGTCTAGAGAGGGGAAAAAATAAAGGAAGAAAGTAAGGGAGGAAGGGACGGAGGGAAGAAAATAAAAGAGAAACATCACTGCAGGACAAGCATGAGGTCTGGAAGCCTTGAAAGCAGTTCCATGCCTCTCCCAGACTGTGATCCCATACACACTTGGTCCACACTTGAGAGCACAGGGCATTGACTTTCCCCTCTCCTTTCTCCAGGCTGGGAGGTGGCTGGTGACCACATTTATACAGCTGTTGGAGCCTCAGACAATGACTTCATGATTCTCACTCTGGTTGTGCCAGGATTCAGGTAAGGAACAAAAAGCCAGTGGAAGCCTAAGACAAACTGGCTGCATGCAGCTCTCACATGGGAATGTGCTGTGGAAGGAGGCTTCAGAGTTGAGATTCACCTCACTTAGATATGGGTCTAGAACAGAGGGGAGCACACAGTGGTGGTTTGGCCATATTAACTAGACACTAACACATCTTCTTAGTCACTACTGTGATGGTTAACCTTGATTGTCAACCTGACAAGATTTGGAATCACCTAGGAGACACACCTCCAGGTATGTCTGTGAGGGCATTTCCAGAGAGGTTTAAATGAGGAAGACCCACCCTGAATGTGGGTGGCACTATCTCAGAATTGGGGTCCTGGACTGAATACAAAGGAGAAAAGTGAATGGAGCACCAGTGTCATCTCTCCATTTCCTGACTGGATGCCACCAGCCACCTCCTGCACCAGCTGACACACTTTCCCTTCATGTGGACTTTATCCCCTCAAACCATGAGACAAAATAAACTTCCTCCTTTAAGTTGCTTCTTGTCAGGTATTTTGTCACAGCAATGAAATAAGTAATCAGCTGCCCTGCTGTCTTGACCCACCTCGTTTCTTCCATTGCTTGCTACTTGATTCCTTCCTCCTCATACTATCAGACAGAATTATAGAGACTTAAAAATAGGGCCACTGTGCCCTTATACAGTGTCTTTATTTGAGGCAAGAAGATTAAGCAGGATGGTTCTTACTGAATTTCATAAAGTATATTTACATTGGGTGTGCTGTTGGATATCTCAATGATAATGAGATATAAGAAAGCTATTATCACTATCACTTCCACCTGCCAGGTATTGTGGCACATGCCTATAATCCCAGTCCTTGGGAAACTGAGGCAGGAGGATCAGGAGCCTAAGACCATCCTTAGCTACATAGTGAGCTAAGGAGGCCAGCTTAGGCTAAGTAAGATCTTATCGCACAAAAAAAAAAAATTATCACTTCCATTTCATACTTGAAGGAACTACAGGTTGGCTAGGTCAACAAGGTTATATAGTTTGAGTGGCATAGCTGGACTTAGTTCCTACTCTTTTTAACAAACTCCAAGCCTAATCCTGTCCTCCAGCTGACCCTTTCTGTTGTCTAGACTCTTCGAGAAGCACTGCCTGGTCTCTGAACTGACCTTTAGCTTCTGTCCCCACAGACCTCCACAGTCAGTGATGGCAGACATAGAGAACAAAGAGGTGGCCAGGATTACATTTGTCTTTGAGACCATCTGTTCTGTGAACTGTGAGCTCTACTTCATGGTGGTACGTTGTCCTCTCTTGGCCAGCTGGGGGCTTCCATGGAAGGTAGGCCCTACCCGCCCACCTCCACTGATGAGTCAACATAATGGTTTACTCATCCTGTGATTCTCATAGTGATGAGAAGAAGAGCCCAGAGTGACCACCAGGGACTGACCCCACATTATTTAAAGTGGATCTGACCAGTGTGACAGCTAATGGGATGGTAACAATGTAGGCATCCTCTGTTCCTACATGTTTTCCTCACTTATCTATCCTGGGTTCAGGGCATGAATTCTAGAACCAACACTCCTGTGGAGACTTGGAAAGGTGGCAAAGGCAAACAGTCCTATACCTACACCATTGAGGAGAACGCCACCGTGAGCTTCACCTGGGCCTTCCAGAGGACCACTCTTCATGAGACAGTGAGTCCCTCCCCTTCCCATCTACAGACTGACTCCAGAAAGATTCCTGACATGAGCTTGTGCCTGACTCTGAATTCACAATCAAAAGGTTAGAAGGAGCCTGGAAAGATGGCTGAGCTGTTAAGAGCACTGGCTGCTCTCGCAGAGACCTGGCAGAACACTCATGCAAATAAAATAAAAATAATAAAATGATTTTTTAATTTTTAAAAAGGGTTTAAGGTGGGTATGATGGCACCCACCATCTCAACACTCGGGAGGCAGAAGCAGGCAAATCTCTGTGAGTTCCAGGCCAGCCTGGCCTACAGGGTGAGTTCTAGGCTAGACAAGACTACATAGTGAGACCTTGTCTCAAAATATAAAAAAAAAAATAATAAGGTAGAGAGTGATAGAAAAAAATGGCCAATGTTAGCCTCTGGCCTCCACACACATACATATATGTTCATGCATACACATAGAAAGAAAGA